TGAAATGCCATTAATTCCTCTAGGAACTCATTAATAGATTAACATTTGGAAGAGTAATTACAGCTACATTAACACTAAGAATAAAGAGAAATAAAAGAAAACCCAGCATCATTTCTTTTAAACTCTTGACACAAAACGAAGATCAATACTATAAAAAAAAAAATCAGAGGTATGGAATTAAGGTCAAAATGATTATTTTAAAAATAGGTAAGCTGTTCGTATATATTTCTAATAAAACTAGTAAGGATAAAAATCTTTTTTGGTGTTTCACATTATTTGTGTGGAATACCATCTCACAGGGGTTAGAAAAAGAGTACTGAGGTGAAATCAGGGATGTATCTGGAAATTGCAAGAGTTGATGACTTCAGTGCTGTTAACCTAAATCACAACTAAAATTAACAATGTCAGGCTTTGTAGCTACAGTTTCTAAGCCAAAGCAAGACACTATTTTTTAGTAAGACTGAAATATATTACCCTTCAAAAGGATTAAATACTGAAAAAGTCTTTTTTGAGAATTTATGATACAGCTCTGTAAAGGAAAGAGAAAAGATAAAGTGGGTACTACAGTTAGACAAATAGGTGAGATCTTGAGAAATGTTTTCATTTTTCATAAAATTCTCACAATCTGTACATTATACATATATAATTCATTACATTATAACATGGAGTATGAATCCTGAAGATTTATAAAATATGAAGAAATTCGGTGGATAAAATTTGGCTGTTCAGAAATGTTTCTCTCTCAGTTTTATGTATACCAACTGCAGAACCAGGCTGCACTGCAGTGTGCCAGTGGGAACTGAGCTATTTCAAGAAGAAAAAAAGTAAAATCCATGAAAAGTAACAAGGTTGTAAAATACATAAATGACAAATAAAATGAAGTCATCAATGTGTAAAAAATGCTAAAGTTTTAGATTTGCAATTTTCCTATTTAAATGCCCTCATTGATTTGTTACAAATACTGTTAACCCTGTGTTTGGAAAATGGTGAGGACATTATCACTTGTGTTCTCATTTGTAATAAAATAGATTAACTTGCTGTGAAATTTTAACTAGGCTGAGACACAACAGTAGCTACCTAATGAACCAGAGCACATTGCTGTTAAGTAGCTAAATAGATGCATACTGATTACAGGACTGAAAAATGGATGTGTTTACTTGGAGGAAAAAAAAGAATATATCTGTTCATAGTGTTATTCATTATAGTAGGAGAAATTCAGCATTATACTTCCACGCAAACATTTAGAAATAGACAGTTTCTCAATCCATAGGGAGTCTGACATGATTACACTATATCCTCATTTCTAGTACATAAAATACAGAGAAAATTTCAGCTCCTTTGTCACATGTAGGGGAAAGTGCATCTTCCCAGTACATGTGAATTTTTGTAACCATTTAGATATTAGATGGCATAATCAACTTACTCTCTTAGAAAGTGATTCACTGTATGATTAAGAATGACATTATTATTTGACACGTTTATTTCTGCCTGAACATTTCTAAATAAGACCCCAAGTTTGAAGGCAAATTACTTTAAGCAGAAATTATTTTATAGCAAGAGACAATGGAATGTACAGTTATCAGAAGAAGCTAGAATACTTCGCTTTTCTAAATCATCAGCTTTTGAATTACTCAAATAACTCTCATTTAAAGTGACTTATATGGCTGTTTGTGTGATAACTGTGTTAATTCGTCGTCATATTTGTTCGTAGGTGGTTTGGATTTTTTTTTTTTTTTTGCTGAACAGTTGGCTTGTCTTCTCCTTGGCTATTCATTTTCATAGTTGCAGTAGACAAGAAAATTTACTTAAACTCTGCACTCTTCTGTAAGATTAATCATTTCAAAATTGTATCTTAATTGTAAATTGAGTACTCTTGGTCATAAAAAGAATGTAATGCCAAAGAGGATTGTTAAAACTGAAATCCAGGCAAATAGAATTACAGTCAGAGTTGTAGCCTGTTAGCTGTAACCAGTTACTTATTCAAGGCTGTTATTTACATAAATGCAAAATCTGTAAGTGTTGCACAGAATCACTGGATGTCTTGGGTTGGAAGGGACCTTAAAGCTTACCTTCTTCCAACCCCCTTGTCATGGGCAGGGTTGCCACCCACTAGACTGGGCTGCCCAAAGCCCCTTCCAACCTGGCCTTGAAGACCTGCAGGGATGGGCATCCACTACTTGTCTCCGTTCAGAACTTTACGAGCAGAGGAGCAGAGGAGCAGAATCACCTCCCTTGCACTGCTGGTCACACTTGATTTGATACAGCCCAGGATACAGGTTTTTTTCCTGGCTGCAAGCATGCATTGCTGGCTCATTCTGAGTTTTTCGTCCACCAGTGCCCCCAAGTCCTTCTCTGCAGGGCTGTTCTAAATACACTTATTGCCTGGCCTGTATTCATGATTGGGATTGCTCCAACCCAGACTCTTGGTCTTGTTGGACTTACTGAGGTTTGCTCATCCCTTCTCTGAAGCCTGTCATGATCCCTCTGAATGACATCCCTTCCATCCAGTATGCCAACTGCTCCACTCTGCTTGGTGTCGTTCGCAGACTTGCTGAGGGTTCCCTCAGCCCTGCTGTCAGTGTCACCAGCAAAGACACAGATAGTCCCAGAATCAACCCCTGAGGAGCACCACTCATCAGTGTCTCCACCTCAGCACTAAGCCATTGATTCACAATTCTCTGAGTGTGAACATCCAGCCAAGTCCTTACTGACAGAATGATCCATCTGTTCAGTCAACATCTCTCCAAATTAGAGCCAAAATTTTGTGCAGGGCAGTCGCATGCTTTGTACATGCCGAGGCAGATATGTCAGTTATTTGTGTATTATTCATCGTATACCTAGAAGAATTCTTCTTGATGTAACCTTTTAAATGTCATTTACTGATCAGTAAATCATATCTGTGTTCTGTTTTGCTGGTCTCAGCAACCTCTCAGATCAGTCTTTTGAATACCAAGGATAAAACATTGACCATTTTGAGATGAGTGGCTTTTCCTTTTTTTCTCCCAAGTTTGAGAATTTGTTGGATTAAAATTATTCAGTTTTAAAAATTTTAAGATCTTATAACTCAACATGTAGTAGGTTAATTTGTAAAGACTTAATAAATATTTTAATTAACATTCAAAAACACTGCAATTAATAGTCTCCCTCCAAGATTTATTTGTTATTGTATATTCATTAAATAACAGATAATTAGTGAGAACAGTTCCATTGAGGATTAACAGCTATGTAATAGATACACATCTGTTACATGATTTTGAAGTTCAGTTGTTATTTAATGTACAATAACTATCCTATTAAAAACACATTCATTACTACATTTTTGGTTGGTGTGATTGGAATAGACAAACACCACCCCTTGCTATTAGAAGTATCCACTCACATTCTCTTCGCATTGTTCTCAGATGTGTCTGTAAACATGAGGGTGAGTGTGCTTTAGAGAGATAGTTTTAATGGATAATAGTATTCTTAAAATGTCAATGCCACTGCCAGTGTTATTAATGAATTGCCTCAATAGGTTATGAACAGAAGCTATTATGCTAGCTATTGGTAATGGAGAAGCTATGAGAATCTAGTGTTCTCTTCCTAAAGCTATAGTATTGATTCAGCATAGTATCTAGCAAAACTGCATTAAAAGTTTGAATACTATTGAGCATATTTTCAGAAGCGCATGGAAAATTGCCACCAAGTAGCCAGATTGCATACTCTTACTGAAAAATCTGAAATAGATTAGAAAGGCAGAAAAACTGCCAAGTTCTTTTGAGAAAACTTCACCAGATTACAGTGTAAATGTAATTGTGGTTTTTAAAGGGATGGGGCAAGAGAATCTCCCTTAAAAAATTAAATTTAAAAAAAATCACTCATATTTCAGTTCTGTGTTTCCATTGGGAACAGCTGATTGCCACAGATGAGGGCAGCTGCAAAGATGCAGTTTCTGGGCTTCTTGTTAGTGTCCCTCCACTGAAACTATGCCTTTAAAGACTTTCTTACTTGTAACAAAGGACATAAAATGTAAAATTTAAAATAAGATTATCTAGAGTATCTCAGGCCACGATCTGCCCCTTTGAGAAGAGTTCTATTTTTCATTGATCTTCGCAATGATGAAAAGGGGGACTGGATTTTGAATAAACTGAGAATAGTGCATGTGGACTAGTTGGGTTGGAATGGGTCTCAAGTGGAGAGACCCATCAAGCATTTTCCTCAAGACAGGATGAATAATTACTCATCTAACCTGTTAGCAAAAATCTGTACTAGTGGAAGTTCCATAAGTTCTCCAGAGTCTTCAAGTTTAGACAGGCAGGACTATGGAACTCCATTTTACTAAATTTTACAATTTCTTCTCAATTTCTTCCCCTTCCCTAGAGCAGCGTGTATATTTAGGTTACACTTCAATCTCAAAGTTTCGTGTAAAAATGTGCACATAAAAATTTACAAGCAGTCTTGTTTTTGTTGGTCTGTGGTACTTCTCATCTGAAAGTGAACCTGCCTTTACCAATGTCGTGGCTTTTAAAATTGGTCTGTGTGCTGCCTTCAGAAGACACTCGTGATATATTTAAGGACAAGAAGTGATTTTTCTTGCGAATTTACAAATCTGACTGTGCTTAGTGCCAGTTTGTCAAAATTTGATTTATTTATGTGACATGTGACTCATACATGCCAATTTCAATATCTGTAGAGTAAAATTAGTTTGTACAAACCATGCGAAAAAATATTCTCTATATTCCTATGTGTGAAAATGTTAGACTTATGAAAGAAAAAAAGGTGGTAAGTGCTGTGTCATGACCCTAAGGATGAAAAACTGTCTAGATGCATCACATGTAGAAGATTATATTCTTCTTGAGTATTGAAGGCTGTACTACTCTTTTGATTTGAATTCTGTTCACTGTTTATCTTAGCAAGACTATTTGTTATTTTTATTTTAGCCACTTTCTTTTTTTTTTAATTGAACTTCAGTGAAGTTCACTAATCAAATTGCACAGACCTTGTTTTATTTCTGTTTCAAGGAAAGAATTCAAGACAGCCCTTCTCCAGCTCCATCCCTAGAAGAGAGTCAGCGGCCTGGGAGCCATGCTTCCTCTCATCAGAGCAGCAGCGTGTCCAGCTCACCTTCCCAGCTGGACAACACACCAGACAGAATTGGTTAGTGCTCTGCAGCCTCACACCCCATGACAGTTGCTGACCTCACACATTTTAGCAGTTTTTTGAAGCAAATACCTTATTTACTGGGAAACTCAGGAAAGCCCCTTTCTGTTTTGTTTCTCCAAAACAGAAAGAAACATACAAAAAATCCCACCAAAAATGACCAGAAAGCTCCTCACTGTAGTTTTTTGTATTAGATTCAATACTACACAGAGCCCATCCTCTCATTCTGTGTCTGTATCTACCCATGCACAGAACCTCCTCTGCACATACCACCTCTTCTATGGTGTGACTCACTGATCTTGCATGCTGGCTTGAGAAAGTGACTCTGAAACCACCTGGAGTTGAAAAATAGCAGGATATGTTTCAAATCCTATGAAAACACACATACAATGATTTTTACACTATAAAAACCTCCTGTTGGCCAGACATTCACTCACTGCCATGAAGCTGAGAGGTTTTGATATATATGTATTTTTTGTTCTCTCTAGAACAATTTTCAGTCTGTACATTATTGATCTTGTGTTTAAAATGCAAATTTGGGCTGGAGGAAATTTGGATTCTATTCTTGATTCTTCCAGGAGGCATCTAGGGCAAGTCAGTTATCATCTCCTTTCTTCCATGTGTGTCAACACTGTTGTCTTCACAGAGACTGCAACCTATGCAGACATTGCTGAGCTAGATTTAAACTACAAAAGCAGTGCAGTTCTTGGCAGTCACTGTGAGCTTCACTGCCTTCAAATTACTACTCAGCAGCTTGCTGGGATTTTGGAGTTTTTGCCATGGTCCGTGCTGCAGCACCATTGCACTACATACCTCTGTTGACAATAGACAAACTAATCAATAGAAACTGGGCTGCTTGGACAAAACACAGCATACACAAGGGAAGAACAAGAAAGTAGATGCCCTTCAGCCTCCATGTATGTAAAATAGGGCTTCCCTTTTAGCAATGAAAAAGGGATTTTTTTTCCCCTTACTGTAGTTTTTGAAAGCTATTGTAACTTGTTTTGTTAACAGTAGTAGCACACAGTGCTATCCTCTGAGCTCCAGCAGTAGTAGTGAAAGGTTTTTCTAAAATAAATAAAATAAAAATGAAACGTACAAATTTTTATATATTTAAAAAGTATTTTATTTATTTATTTATTTATTTTACTTCTACAAGTTTTTCAAGTTTTTCACAAGTCTTGTTAAAGAAATATTAAATTCTGTAATTGGTTAATTGCATAGAAGGAGACGAAGAAAATAGGTATGAGCTTAGCATGTCTCACTGTTCTGGTAGATGTTAAGAATTTTTTTTCACACTATGAAGTATGTTTTTTTTCACTTTCATCTATTGGTTTGGGCTACTTTCTATGCATCTGAGCTTTTTAATTGTCCTTGTTGCTTTACAGATAATTACTAACACTTACATCCTTTGCTTTACTAAACGCGTTTTTTCCCAAAATGATTTCTGTGAAGTACTTTTCTAAATTTTCTATTTGAACTCTCTTCTAAAAAATCAGTTGTTCTCAGTAATTTTAGTTCTGTCTTGGTGTCTTTTTTTAATCAAGTTGAGCAAATTTGCTTCAGCTGCATATTCCGGTTTATCATTGCTGAATTGGGAGCTTTATGGACAACAGATGTGGTTACCTGCTTTAAAACTTGTATGAATAAATGTTAAAATATCAAAATAATAAGAAAAAAAAAGTATAATTTACTGCTTTCCTCTTTTGACATTTTTTAAATGACAGTTCTTTTATTGCTGTGCACTCTCATTTTTTTAGCTATGTTGACCAACAGCAGGGAAGGAGAGCTCATTGATCAAGAAACTGGGACAAGCCTAAAAAAAATGCAAAAGGAGAAAGGTATAACTACACTTCTTTCTATCTCAGGCATTTAATTACACTTATATGCTTTATTCTCTTTTTTACTATTCTGCATAATACTGTAAATCTAAGAAAGCCAAGTGCCTAATTGCAATGAATAATGTATCACTGGGTTTAGATCGCCTTCTACTTAGGAAGAGTAAACAATCAGGTCTTTGCTTCCATCTATTTATATCCTATGGAGTAATATTTTGCCATTCTTTTTCTCAATTATTTATGCAGTTCTTAGCAACTATTTGATTAGTCACATGATATTGTTTCTTTTCCTGCAGTAGATGTGCGTGCAAGCTACTCTAATACTGGTTCATAAGTGAAGGAAATAAGCCATTTTTCATGTTTAAGAATGCTACCTGATCTCATAAGAGGCAAGTAAGGGAAGAGGTGATGTTTAGCCTATAGTGTTCGTCCTGTCGGCAGGGAAGTGCCTCCTCTGATCTTGCACTGATTGGTGGGAGTTGGAGAAAGTTAGTATGTCTGTGTATTCAGGTAAGCCCTGGGGCACAGCTGCAGAGATGTAGAATCTGCAGCTACGCATGGAGGAGAAATGTGGCATTTTGTTTCCTCGTAAATAAAATTAGAAGAAAATCAGTTATATTGCTGGACAAAATCATAAGAAATTAGAGTTATCATCAACAAGACAAAATCAAGTGTTCAGTTTTAAGCTTAGCCAGCACAGGTCAAGTTTGTCTCTGAGAACTAGAAAGTAGTTGGTTTTTTGGCACGTGAAGATGCAGTTTTCATGTAATCCCATGGCTTCAGAACTGAAACATTCTGACTTATCATGGGACAAACGTCAAAATTTGAAAAGCGTTAACGATGTGCATCCAATGTTTTGAAGGTGATTTCATACAATCCTGGAATTTCACATTGAGCAGTGTGGTGGACCTGTGTTGTATCTCCTTTAGGAATCTCTGCTTTATAGAAATACAAGCACCCTGTAATGGTGGACTGCACCAGTAGGAGATACAGTCTGTATTTTCCTTCTGAAATTCCCAGCCTGTCACCCCATATAAGTGTTATTACACCTCAAGGATTTTTACCACTCCAGTATGTATTTTGTTCCTAGTAGTAATAGTATTCTCTTTGCATAATTGTTTTGGGCTCTGGTGCACCTCAAATGTGTTGAACAATTTTCATGTTCAGATGTGGGCGGTTACTGAAGAGTGTGATGTATGCTCAGCGAAAAATATATATGTAATTTGTATACAAGCTTTATTTTTCAAAACTTGACATTGCTTTCACTAAGGCAAAGTATATTTACCATGGAAAACATTCGCAAAGTTATTAAGAAGGAATGTAGTTAAAATAAAAGTATCAACATTTATTAAGCATGACAAGTAAGCAGTTTATACAACCGTGGCAAACATATGTTTTCACATCTGCTTTGAGTAATATCATCATGATTTTAAAAATGATTTATAGCTCTGCAAGCCATAAAATGCCAGCTTTGCTGTAAGTTAAAAGTTTTCAAACAACAAAGAAATTATTGAAGGCATATATTAAGCATGTTTTTGTAACACACTTTGTTAGAACTGCATATCTGAGCTGTTTATAGCAATTAAGACAACAACAAATGAAAATTAAGTAACTAAAATTTAGCGGTAGTATTACTCATATGAAAGCTTAGCATAAAAAACAATAAAACTTATTGTGATTATTGTAAGCACTACTGTGATATTCCTCAGGATACAAAATTTTATTTTCCTTATGCCATTGGAAGTGCTGTTAGCACCAGACAAAAATATGTCAGTTTGTTCTCGTCAAACTAATTTCAAGGTAATCAGGGCTGAAGAGAATATAGCTTATGTTCTTTCTGACAACACAGTTAATATAAAACTGTTTCAATTATGTTGAGCTGCTTGTATGTGTTGGTGAGACAGAATTTACGGAATTAAAGGCTGTCTCGTCTCAGCAGGTTAGAGGTTGGTTACAGACCGTGTCTTTAAGCTTGTTGAAGAAGCAGTGCCTTTAAATCTCAGTTACTCCACATCCTTTCAGCATCTTAGGAAGTATTGTCAGGCTTAATATTAGAAGACAGCTAGATCAAATATATTTCTAGATCTGCACAAGCATTCTGCCTGTGCATCCATGTCAGGATATGAGTGAAAACCATATAATGGATAATCTGTACTGTATTTTGAAATTGCTACTGAAAGGAAACAGAAAATTCCCTGTCAACAGAACATAGTCCCAAATGTTACAGAAATGTAAACAGTTTCTTCACGATTTTGCTTACTTGCTATTTCTGTTTTTAAGCAGTAGCATTTTACCTAATTCCTTACAGTAATTCAATTTTACATTTGCCTGCTTTGGTATTTATCCTAAAAAAAAGTCTCTATTGTATGGGAAAGGATTGTGTTTGACACAGTATTATATAGGCTTTGTAGGAACCTCCATATGAAATCTGGCATTAGGAAGGTTAAATGAGCCAGAAAAGAACTTGGCTATACCTGCCAGTAGGACTTAATTGCAGGTACAATTATTCCTTGTGACTATATGACAAAAAAATATTTCTAAATCTTCATATAGGACGGAATAATAAAAGACACAACCCCAGCTCTTGCCACAGAGAAATCAATGGAAGTGTTTACAATGTCTTCAATGAGAGCAGAGTTTGTCCACCGTCTGGTATTTTGGGCCGTAGCTCCCCCAGCCAATAGCACTTGTTACTGTCCTAGGCAGGAGCGGTATGTACCCATAGGCAGTACAAATGCTTTGCCTCCCAGGGCAGTGGTGTGCCTGAGCCTGATGAGATGTGGGAACATGCCAGCCCTGCTCCTGTGCTCTGATTTCAGCAGGAGGCAAGCAGGCCCCAGAGAACCACGGCTGTTTGGGGGGCTGGAGTTGTACTCCCCCTAAATGAACCAGAGTAAAAATTCATAGGAAGAGTCTGCAGATGACTGGTTTCTTCTCACTTACCCTTTGTTCAAGTGCTCTTTTAGCAGAAATGAGGGCTCTATTTGCTGAGAAAGTGCTTTGCTCTGAATCTCTCACTGCTGCTCAGTGTCCATACTACCTCCTTTAGCCTGGTTGTCTGCATTCTTGGAGCACAAGTCTACATCCCATGACGGTCTCAGATTTCTGGTAGATGGTAGTCTCCAAAGCTGCATCTGGCAGCTATTCTTTTTTATTTCATTGAAGAACACCTTCCCATTTATTACTTCAAGGAAATGGGAATTTTACATCAGTTCTGTCAGCTGAGTGAAATATTTTCAGATGGCCATAGATTACAGTAATGAAAGAATAACTGTATCTATTTATTGTGTTTTGTTAGTGGAAAAGGGTTTTTATGATGTTTAAATTAATAATTGCCAAAGGACTAGGTTACTCACAATGTGAGTAGTGGAGAAAGAGCAGGTGCATAACACCTGAAACAGCAACAGGCCCAAGTGGGGGTGTCCTGCAGAGAGAGGACTTTTCTGACAATGAATGTGAAAGCATCCAGATGGAGAGCGCAAGGAATAAGGAAAGGAACTGAGATTACGAAGCTGTAACATGAATCGTGTATAGAAAGTGTACGAGAGGTGCCAACACTTCAAATGTTCACCATGCTGTTTCTTTGACATTTCAGTACTTACATGTGAAACATATAATGACAAATAAGCAGTTTTCCTTAGGAATGTGCTCACAAATCTTCTCTTGAGATACATGGAAAAGTTCCCAAATTAGAAGTGAATTCGTGTTCCTTTTGCTGTCTTAAGTGTGACATGAGAGACCCAGGAGTTGTTTGATAAGCAGTGGATGCAATAGTACATGAGTTTAAAGGTTGCAAGGGCTTCTTATTCCAAAAATCTCAAGTGACATGTATTGCACAAATATTCACTAGAAGACTGAGAGATATTTTTATATTTTCTGTCCTCTTAGAATTCTGAAGGGTAACGAACTCAGCGCTCTGTTCTGAGTGAAGGCTTTTTCTGCAAGTTCTTGTCGTTAAATTTAACCTGCAAATGAGCTGACAACTGACAAAATGGTGACCTAAGAGTAGATGGGATCTTTCATCAGTCAGTCAGAAAACGAAAACCAACTGAACAAAAATCCCCAACCAATGAAACTAAGGCAAACTTTTATTAATACTTTGATTCACAGTATATGTGAATAGGAAATAATAGAGAAGTTCTAACTTTTTCAGTGTATAGACTCATGTTGTTACAACTGCATTTAACCATTGCTGAAGTATTTATAAATACAATGGCGAGTAATTGTGTAAGAGCAAATAGTGAAATATTCTGTTTGCATCTTTTACATTAAAATTATATTGAGTCTCATAAGTAAACAAATTTTCTTGATTTTCCAAATCATTTTAAACCACGCCATTTTTTTCTGAAGGGTAAAATAACTGCTTCATAATTATCTTGGCATATGGACAGTTTCTTACATTGATATATAATTTATTGATATGTTTTATTTATTAGGTTTCTATGGCTTTAATGTATTACTGTCTAAAGACTACAAACATTGAGTCTAGATGAAAGTGCTGAAAGACAGAAATTCTTTTTACTCAGAAAGCTTTGGACCCAATTTTTGTAAGCAATTCATATAGCTTCATGGAATAAAGTGGGCAAAAAAGAATGGAATAATGTGGCATTTTTACAGGAAGCTTCTCCCCAAAGTCTGAATTATCTCTTCACAGTTTAATGCTTCTACTTTTCTTCCGGAACTGTGAAGTGGGTTTTCTATAGGCCCATCTTAGTGAGCTGTAGCAGATATGAAAGGCATCAGGGGGGTACATTGCTGACTGTCACCTGGTGGCTTTTGCATTAGGCCCAGTAATCTCCCTCAGAGTTAACAGTTGTATTAGAACTGACCCTTTGAATTCTCTGGATCATAATATATCTGATGCGAAGTCATTAACCTCAAAACTGCAGTCAGTGACATTCTTAATGTCTGTGAGTTGTTTAATAAGTATGCCTTCAATCCTCATTAAGATCAGTAGAACTTGAAAAACACGCATCCAGAAAGATAGGCGAAAGGCTTTCTTA